CTTAAGGCAAAGGCCAATTGGAATCAAAGACTTTTTAAGGAAGGTCAGTTTTATTATTTTCAGTTACATGTAGTATATGACAATAGGCTGAGGAAAATAAAGTGCCAACTGTGATAAAGTAGCCGCTATGATAAGTTGGAAAAGTGGTTTGTAATTGGCATATCAGTTCTGTGTTATTCTATGATGGAAAAATATTTCAGAACACTCAAAGACCTTTTCATTTACATTTTAAACAGTTTCTTATAATAGCAGTTACACCATTACTTTCGTAAACTGAAGATGAAGTAGAAGAATCAGTAAGTAAATCTCAGCAATAACAGGTGCCACACCATGCGGCGGGGGCAGCAAGAAACAATGGTGCGCAAAGATCATGAGGAGGGGCTGGCATTTAAAGAGCAGTTGACATGTCAACTGAAGTTGGAACACAGTAGGTTGACTGGTTTTGCAGCACACAGCAAACACCCCGCCTGACAGAAATGAACCCAATAAAAATAATGAACGCCACGTTCTTGGTGGTACGTATCCTAGGTAGCAGATTCTTGAGTCCCTGTCACAATCGCCAGCCTTGTAGTGTCCGTCTAGTCCTGGTGGCCATTTACAAAATGCCTCAAGCGCTTATTTAACACAAAACTTCTCAAAACTTTATGGAGGCACCGACGGTTAATTGGGAAGGCCTAAACTGACGTAATGAAATGAGAAGCCCAATTTTATAATACTGTGCTGGTTTTTCTTCCTTTTTATTGCATTTTTTGGGGTGACACTGGTTAATAAAATTAGACAGGGTTCAGGTGCACAATTCCACAGCACATCATCTGTACACTGTATTGTGTGGTCACCGCCCCAAGTCAGGTCCCCTTCCATCACCATGTACCCCCCTACCCTCCAGCACCTGCCTTACCCCCCACCCCGGCAATCCCCACACTGTTGTCCGTGTCCATGAGTGTTTTCTTTCTTTATTTTTTTTCATATATCTTTATTGATTTCAGAGAGAGGAAGGGAGAGGGAGAGAGAGAGAGAAACATCAATGATGAGAGTCATTGACCGGCTGCCTCCTGCACGCCCCCTGCTGGGGATGGAGCCCGCAACCCGGGCCTGTGCCCTGACCGGGAATCGAAGTGCCATCTCCTGGATCCTAGGTCGATGCTCAACCGCTGAGCCCCACCGCCGGACATGAGTTTTTTCTATGGTGCTCACTTCCTCCACCCCCAC